GCTTCTCGCCCGTGTGTGTTTTCTGGTGCTTGTGAAGATCTGATTTCCGTGCAAATGCCTTCCAGCACACAGCACAATTGAACGGCTTCTCTCCCGTGTGTGTTTTTGGTGGTGTGAAGATCTGCTTTACGGGCAAATGCCTTCACACGAACAGAGCAATTGAATGGCTTCTCACCGTGTGTTTTTGGTGATTGCGGAGAGTTGATGAATCTGCAAATGCCTTCCCGCACACAGCGCAATTGAATGGCTTCTTACCCGTGTGTGCGTGCCGCTGTGGAGAGTTTTTTCTGCTCCACTAACGTTTAACCGAGTCACAGTAACGCTCGGAAGTCGGAATACACACGCGATTACCAGTTTATCCACTAACAAAGACACTTACTTGTTGATGCACGGCGTATCGATGTCCCTGTAACCGTCTGAAGAGATCGCCACGAACTCTCCCGAAGCAAAGTCCCCAACCAGTCGCCAAGCAATCGTGCTCGCCAGGCTGGGTCTCGTGGAAGAAGGGTTATCTGCAGAGCGGGGAGTCGAGCGTCTATGCTCATCAAAATCCCTCTCGAAATGCCCTTGAGGTCTGATTTTAAGCCCTTTATAATTCTGCTCTAGCATCCAAATTCTTTGTTCTCGACTTGGCCTATTATAGAATTGTTAATTTTACATTAACAATCCGCATATCTAGCAACATAATACGTATGTACATATCACTGAATAATTGTACACTTCCGTTTGAATACGGATGTGCATCTCTATGCATAATTCATGATTCGTGTTAATTTGCTAATATTCACCCCCAATGTCCTCTAAACTGCTGCAAGTTTAGAGGATGATAAAGTGACATACAGTCTGAAGTATCAAAATTGGTGATCTCGAGCTTGATTTGGAATAAGATGTGCAAGTTTATACTGTACTGACTTTGTTTTATAAATATATTTAAGTACAATCGTGTTGAGCGGGGTGTTTCTAGAAAACGAGTGTTTTATATTAAAAATTCTGCCATTTGTTCGCGTAGTCGAACGCAATCCTTTGTACTTACACTGCTGTGTATGTCATCGTGTGTGGGTGTGTGTACATGAGAGTGTATGTGTACTCGTGTATGATTATGTATTGGAACAAACAATTTATTTTTATATTGTGTCGTACAAATAATTGAGGGGCAACGTGGTAGGAATGCGCCACCACAACAGGGAACTACAGGGATGAGACTCCCCGCTCGTGGTGCGAAATGAATGAAAACAGCGTAAAACACATGCACACTCGTGTGTGAATGCACACCGCTGTATATACAGTCGTGTTTGGATGCAAACTCGTGTGTGTATGTCTACTCGTCCGTGTTTTTTTAAAGGAAAACTATGGTAGCAATAACGTACGATCAGTCATCTTTAAAAACAGGTCTTTATTAATCTGCAAGAAAGCTCACGTTAATACTCGTATCGAAATCTTTATTAATACGCATGCTCAAACAGGAAAGGAACTATCTTCTTGGTTCTTTCGGTAAAGTCACGTAGAAGGGAAGTAATAAAATAATAAAAATAAAACATAATAAAACAATTCTCACGACGTTTCGGCCACAACGCAAGCAGCCGTCTTGCGTTGTGGCCGAAACGTCGTGAGAATTGTTTTATTATGTTTTTATTTTTATTATTTTATTACTTCCCTTCTACGTGACTATACCGATAGAACCAAGAAGATGAATCCCTGCAGTCACGAAAGCTTTAAATCGAAAAGGAAAGGAACTAGGCATTTTTTCCCAATAGGAATTCAACAGTTAAAATATATTCTTAAAATCAAACACGTAAACGTCGATTTCCCTTTGACGTCCTTTTCGACTGAAGCCATTCGTCCTAAGTATAAAATTGTTGTCATTCTGAAATCCGTGAACACTTCTGGAACTTAAAGGAAGACATTCATCTGAACACATTATAGAGCATTCACAACATCACTCTAGCTTGAAGTCCTAGAAATCACCGAAAAATATATATGAGACACGAATATCCACTACATCAAGCCATATCTCATGATGCAACTGCATGGGGTCGAAAGAGGAATTTCGTTGAGGACTCATGACAACATTTTTACTCTTTGTTTGATGATGCCTGTGAAGTGTTACTGACTGTGAAAATGCTTCCAACACACAGAGCAATCAAACGGTTTTGTTAAAATAATTACACTAGGTTGGAGTAGTGCTGGAAATCACTGATATATCAATTGCACCTAATACATTGATCTAACAGAGAACAAACGTGCACATTCCAGGACTTTAACAGAAGTACTCAATACTTTGATTATCCAGCCACTCCAGCAGCCATTTCTCATTATCAACCTGCATGGGGTCGAAATAGGAATTGTCGTCAGGGCTCAGTACATCCAGCCATCTCGCAGGATCCAACTGCATGGGGTCGAAATAGGAATTGTCGTCAGGACTCATTACATCCATGCATCTCTCAGGATCCACCTGCATAGGTTCGAAAGATGCATTTTTTTCAGGACTCATTGCAGCACTCTGTATTCTCCTTTTGATTTCACTTTCCTATCATTGCGGATCTTCTTATGCTTGTTTCGGGGTGATGACCGTGTCCTCTCCAACGGAGAACAATTGAATGGCTTATCGTCCGTGTGTGTTTCCTGGTGACGATGAAGATTTGATTTCCGTGAAAATGGCTTCCCACACAGAGAGCAATTGAACGGCTTCTCGCCCGTGTGTGTTTTTTGGTGAGTGTGAAGATCTGCTTTACGGGCAAATGCCTTCACACAGAGCAATTGAATGGCTTCTCACCCGAGTGTGTTTTTTGGTGATTGCGAAGAGTTGATGAATCTGCAAATGACTTCCCGCACACAGAGCAATTGAACGGCTTCTCGCCCGTGTGTGTTTTCTGGTGCTTGTGATGAGTTGATGAATCTGCAAATGACTTCCCACACACAGAGCAATTGAACGGCTTCTCGCCCGTGTGTGTTTTCTGGTGCTTGTGAAGATCTGATTTCCGTGCAAATGCCTTCCAGCACACAGCGCAATTGAACGGCTTCTCGCCCGTGTGTGTTTTTTGGTGAGTGTGAAGATCTGCTTTACGGGCAAATGCCTTCACACAAACAGAGCAATTGAATGGCTTCTCACCCGTGTGTTTTTTGGTGATTGCGAAGAGTTGATGAATCTGCAAATGCCTTCCCGCACACAGCGCAATTGAATGGCTTCTTACCCGTGTGTGCGTGCCGCTGTGGAGAGTTTTTCTGCTCCATGTGACTGATTTTTCAGAGCAGAGAAACTTCGTGGATGTCTGGCTCAAATCGCCAAAAAGCAACTCTCACTAACGTCTAACCGAGTCACAGTAACGTCTCGGAAGTCGGAATACACACGCGATTACCAGTTTATCCACTAACAAAGACACTTACTTGTTGATGCACGGCGTATCGATGTCCCTGTAACCCGTCTGAAGAGATCGCCACGAACTCTCCCGAAGCAAAGTCCCAACCAGTCGCCAAGCAATCGTGCTCGCCAGGCTGGGTCTCGTGGAAGAAGGGTTATCTGCAGAGCGGGGAGTCGAGCGTCTATGCTCATCAAAATCCCTCTCGAAATGCCCTTGAGGTCTGATTTTAAGCCCTTTATAATTCCGCTCTAGCATCCAAATTCTTTGTTCTCGACTTGGCCTATTATGGAATTTGCATTCAATTGTTAATTTTTACATTAACAATCCGCATATCTAGCAACATAATACGTATGTACATATCACTGAATAATTGTACACTTCCGTTTGAATACGGATGTGCATCTCTATGCATAATTCCATGATTCGTGTTAATTTGCTAATATTCACCCCCCAATGTCCTCTAAACTGCTGCAAGTTTAGAGGATGATAAAGTGACATACAGTCTGAAGTATCAAAATTGGTGATCTCGAGCTTGATTTGGAATAAGATGTGCAAGTTTATACTGTACTGACTTTGTTTTATAAATATATTTAAGTACAATCGTGTTGAGCGGGGTGTTTCTAGAAAACGAGTGTTTTATATTAAAAATTCTGCCATTTGTTCGCGTAGTCGAACGCAATCCCTTTGTACTTACACTGCTGTGTATGTCCACTCGTGTGTGGGTGTGTGTACATGAGAGTGTATGTGTACTCGTGTATGATTATGTATTGGAACAAACAAATTATTTTTATATTGTGTCGTACAAATAATTGAGGGGCAACGTGGTAGGAATGCGCCACCACAACAGGGAACTACAGGGATGATACTCCCCGCTCGTGGTGCGAAATGAATGAAAACAGCGTAGAAACACATGCACACTCGTGTGTGAATGCACACCGCTGTATATACAGTCGTGTTTGGATGCACACTCGTGTGTGTATGTCTACTCGTCCGTGTTTTTTTAAAGGAAAACTATGGTAGCAATAACGTACGATCAGTCATCTTTAAAAACAGGTCTTTATTAATCTGCAAGAAAGCTCACGTTAATACTCGTATCGAAATCTTTATTAATACGCATGCTCAAACAGGAAAGGAACTATCTTCTTGGTTCTTTCGGTAAAGTCACGTAGAAGGGAAGTAATAAAATAATAAAAATAAAACATAATAAAACAATTCTCACGACGTTTCGGCCACAACGCAAGCAGCCGTTAGACGGCTGCTTGCAGCCGTTGAGGACGGCTGCTTGCGTTGTGGCCGAAACGTCGTGAGAATTGTTTTATTATGTTTTATTTTTATTATTTTATTACTTCCCTTCTACGTGACTATACCGATAGAACCAAGAAGATGAATCCCTGCAGTCACGAAAGCTTTAAATCGAAAAGGAAAGGAACTAGGCAATTTTTTTCCCCAATAGGAATTCAACAGTTAAAATATATTCTTAAAATCAAACACGTAAACGTCGATTTCCCTTTTGACGTCCTTTTCGACTGAAGCCATTCGTCCTAAGTATAAAGTTGTTGTCATTCTGAAATCCGTGAACACTTCTGGAACTTAAAGGAAGACATTCATCTGAACACATTATAGAGCATTCACAACATCACTCTAGCTTGAAGTCCTAGAAATCACCGAAAAATATAAATGAGACACGAATACTCCACTACATCAAGCCATATCTCATGATGCAACTGCATGGGGTCGAAAGAGGAATTTCGTTGAGGACTCATGACAACATTTTTACTCTTTGTTTGATGATGCCTGTGAAGTGTTGCTGACTGTGAAAATGCTTCCAACACACAGAGCAATCAAACGGTTTTGTTAAAATAATTACACTAGGTTGGAGTAGTGCTGGAAATCACTGATATTATCAATTGCACCTAATACATTGATCTAACAGAGAAACAAACGTGCACATTCCAGGACTTTAACAGAAGTACTCAATACTTTGATTATCCAGCCACTCCAGCAGCCATTTCTCATTATCAACCTGCATGGGGTCGAAATAGGAATTGTCGTCAGGGCTCAGTACATCCAGCCATCTCGCAGGATCCAACTGCATGGGGTCGAAATAGGAATTGTCGTCAGGACTCATTACATCCATGCATCTCTCAGGATCCACCTGCATAGGTTCGAAAGATGCATTTTTTTCAGGACTCATTGCAGCAATCTGTATTTCTCCTTTTGATTTCACTTTCCTATCATTGCGGATCTTCTTATGCTTGTTTCGGGGTGATGACCGTGTCCTCTCCAACGGAGAACAATTGAATGGCTTATCGTCCGTGTGTGTTTCCTGGTGACGATGAAGATTTGATTTCCGTGAAAATGGCTTCCCACACAGAGAGCAATTGAACGGCTTCTCGCCCGTGTGTGTTTTTTGGTGAGTGTGAAGATCTGCTTTACGGGGAAATGCCTTCACCACAGAGCAATTGAACGGCTTCTCACCCGAGTGTGTTTTTTGGTGATTGCGAAGAGTTGATGAATCTGCAAATGACTTCCCGCACACAGAGCAATTGAACGGCTTCTCGCCCGTGTGTGTTTTCTGGTGCTTGTGATGAGTTGATGAATCTGCAAATGACTTCCCACACACAGAGCAATTGAACGGCTTCTCGCCCGTGTGTGTTTTCTGGTGCTTGTGAAGATCTGATTTCCGTGCAAATGCCTTCCAGCACACAGCACAATTGAACGGCTTCTCTCCCGTGTGTGTTTTTTGGTGAGTGTGAAGATCTGCTTTACGGGCAAATGCCTTCACACGAACAGAGCAATTGAATGGCTTCTCACCCGTGTGTGTTTTTTGGTGATTGCGGAGAGTTGATGAATCTGCAAATGCCTTCCCGCACACAGCGCAATTGAATGGCTTCTTACCCGTCGGAATACACACGCGATTACCAGTTTATCCACTAACAAAGACACTTACTTGTTGATGCACGGCGTATCGATGTCCCTGTAACCCGTCTGAAGAGATCGCCACGAACTCTCCCGAAGCAAAGTCCCCAACCAGTCGCCAAGCAATCGTGCTCGCCAGGCTGGGTCTCGTGGAAGAAGGGTTATCTGCAGAGCGGGGAGTCGAGCGTCTATGCTCATCAAAATCCCTCTCGAAATGCCCTTGAGGTCTGATTTTAAGCCCTTTATAATTCCGCTCTAGCATCCAAATTCTTTGTTCTCGACTTGGCCTATTATGGAATTTGCATTCAATTGTTAATTTTTACATTAACAATCCGCATATCTAGCAACATAATACGTATGTACATATCACTGAATAATTGTACACTTCCGTTTGAATACGGATGTGCATCTCTATGCATAATTCCATGATTCGTGTTAATTTGCTAATATTCACCCCCCAATGTCCTCTAAACTGCTGCAAGTTTAGAGGATGATAAAGTGACATACAGTCTGAAGTATCAAAATTGGTGATCTCGAGCTTGATTTGGAATAAGATGTGCAAGTTTATACTGTACTGACTTTGTTTTATAAATATATTTAAGTACAATCGTGTTGAGCGGGGTGTTTCTAGAAAACGAGTGTTTTATATTAAAAATTCTGCCATTTGTTCGCGTAGTCGAACGCAATCCCTTTGTACTTACACTGCTGTGTATGTCCACTCGTGTGTGGGTGTGTGTACATGAGAGTGTATGTGTACTCGTGTATGATTATGTATTGGAACAAACAATTATTTTTATATTGTGTCGTACAAATAATTGAGGGGCAACGTGGTAGGAATGCGCCACCACAACAGGGAACTACAGGGATGATACTCCCCGCTCGTGGTGCGAAATGAATGAAAACAGCGTAGAAACACATGCACACTCGTGTGTGAATGCACACCGCTGTATATACAGTCGTGTTTGGATGCAAACTCGTGTGTGTATGTCTACTCGTCCGTGTTTTTTTAAAGGAAAACTATGGTAGCAATAACGTACGATCAGTCATCTTTAAAAACAGGTCTTTATTAATCTGCAAGAAAGCTCACGTTAATACTCGTATCGAAATCTTTATTAATACGCATGCTCAAACAGGAAAGGAACTATCTTCTTGGTTCTTTCGGTAAAGTCACGTAGAAGGGAAGTAATAAAATAATAAAAATAAAACATAATAAAACAATTCTCACGACGTTTCGGCCACAACGCAAGCAGCCGTTGAGGACGGCTGCTTGCAGCCGTTGAGGACGGCTGCTTGCGTTGTGGCCGAAACGTCGTGAGAATTGTTTTATTATGTTTTATTTTTATTATTTTATTACTTCCCTTCTACGTGACTATACCGATAGAACCAAGAAGATGAATCCCTGCAGTCACGAAAGCTTTAAATCGAAAAGGAAAGGAACTAGGCAATTTTTTCCCAATAGGAATTCAACAGTTAAAATATATTCTTAAAATCAAACACGTGAACGTCGATTTCCCTTTGACGTCCTTTTCGACTGAAGCCATTCGTCCTAAGTATAAAGTTGTTGTCATTCTGAAATCCGTGAACACTTCTGGAACTTAAAGGAAGACATTCATCTGAACACATTATAGAGCATTCACAACATCACTCTAGCTTGAAGTCCTAGAAATCACCGAAAAATATAAATGAGACACGAATACTCCACTACATCAAGCCATATCTCATGATGCAACTGCATGGGGTCGAAAGAGGAATTTCGTTGAGGACTCATGACAACATTTTTACTCTTTGTTTGATGATGCCTGTGAAGTGTTGCTGACTGTGAAAATGCTTCCAACACACAGAGCAATCAAACGGTTTTGTTAAAATAATTACACTAGGTTGGAGTAGTGCTGGAAATCACTGATATTATCAATTGCACCTAATACATTGATCTAACAGAGAAACAAACGTGCACATTCCAGGACTTTAACAGAAGTACTCAATACTTTGATTATCCAGCCACTCCAGCAGCCATTTCTCATTATCAACCTGCATGGGGTCGAAATAGGAATTGTCGTCAGGGCTCAGTACATCCAGCCATCTCGCAGGATCCAACTGCATGGGGTCGAAATAGGAATTGTCGTCAGGACTCATTACATCCATGCATCTCTCAGGATCCACCTGCATAGGTTCGAAAGATGCATTTTTTTCAGGACTCATTGCAGCAATCTGTATTTCTCCTTTTGATTTCACTTTCCTATCATTGCGGATCTTCTTATGCTTGTTTCGGGGTGATGACCGTGTCCTCTCCAACGGAGAACAATTGAATGGCTTATCGTCCGTGTGTGTTTCCTGGTGACGATGAAGATTTGATTTCCGTGAAAATGGCTTCCCACACAGAGAGCAATTGAACGGCTTCTCGCCCGTGTGTGTTTTTTGGTGAGTGTGAAGATCTGCTTTACGGGCAAATGCCTTCACACAGAGCAATTGAATGGCTTCTCACCCGAGTGTGTTTTTTGGTGATTGCGAAGAGTTGATGAATCTGCAAATGACTTCCCGCACACAGAGCAATTGAACGGCTTCTCGCCCGTGTGTGTTTTCTGGTGCTTGTGATGAGTTGATGAATCTGCAAATGACTTCCCACACACAGAGCAATTGAACGGCTTCTCGCCCGTGTGTGTTTTCTGGTGCTTGTGAAGATCTGATTTCCGTGCAAATGCCTTCCAGCACACAGCGCAATTGAACGGCTTCTCGCCCGTGTGTGTTTTTTGGTGAGTGTGAAGATCTGCTTTACGGGCAAATGCCTTCACACAACAGAGCAATTGAATGGCTTCTCACCCGTGTGTGTTTTTTGGTGATTGCGAGAGTTGATGAATCTGCAAATGCCTTCCCGCACACAGCGCAATTGAATGGCTTCTTACCCGTGTGTGCGTGCCGCTGTGGAGAGTTTTTCTGCTCCACTAACGTTAACCGAGTCACAGTAACGTCTCGGAAGTCGGAATACACACGCGATTACCAGTTTATCCACTAACAAAGACACTTACTTGTTGATGCACGGCGTATCGATGTCCCTGTAACCCGTCTGAAGAGATCGCCACGAACTCTCCCGAAGCAAAGTCCCCAACCAGTCGCCAAGCAATCGTGCTCGCCAGGCTGGGTCTCGTGGAAGAAGGGTTATCTGCAGAGCGGGGAGTCGAGCGTCTATGCTCATCAAAATCCCTCTCGAAATGCCCTTGAGGTCTGATTTTAAGCCCTTTATAATTCCGCTCTAGCATCCAAATTCTTTGTTCTCGACTTGGCCTATTATGGAATTTGCATTCAATTGTTAATTTTTACATTAACAATCCGCATATCTAGCAACATAATACGTATGTACATATCACTGAATAATTGTACACTTCCGTTTGAATACGGATGTGCATCTCTATGCATAATTCCATGATTCGTGTTAATTTGCTAATATTCACCCCCCAATGTCCTCTAAACTGCTGCAAGTTTAGAGGATGATAAAGTGACATACAGTCTGAAGTATCAAAATTGGTGATCTCGAGCTTGATTTGGAATAAGATGTGCAAGTTTATACTGTACTGACTTTGTTTTATAAATATATTTAAGTACAATCGTGTTGAGCGGGGTGTTTCTAGAAAACGAGTGTTTTATATTAAAAATTCTGCCATTTGTTCGCGTAGTCGAACGCAATCCCTTTGTACTTACACTGCTGTGTATGTCCACTCGTGTGTGGGTGTGTGTACATGAGAGTGTATGTGTACTCGTGTATGATTATGTATTGGAACAAACAAATTATTTTTATATTGTGTCGTACAAATAATTGAGGGGCAACGTGGTAGGAATGCGCCACCACAACAGGGAACTACAGGGATGAGACTCCCCGCTCGTGGTGCGAAATGAATGAAAACAGCGTAGAAACACATGCACACTCGTGTGTGAATGCACACCGCTGTATATACAGTCGTGTTTGGATGCACACTCGTGTGTGTATGTCTACTCGTCCGTGTTTTTTTAAAGGAAAACTATGGTAGCAATAACGTACGATCAGTCATCTTTAAAAACAGGTCTTTATTAATCTGCAAGAAAGCTCACGTTAATACTCGTATCGAAATCTTTATTAATACGCATGCTCAAACAGGAAAGGAACTAGGCAATTTTTTCCCAATAGGAATTCAACAGTTAAAATATATTCTTAAAATCAAACACGTAAACGTCGATTTCCCTTTTGACGTCCTTTTCGACTGAAGCCATTCGTCCTAAGTATAAAGTTGTTGTCATTCTGAAATCCGTGAACACTTCTGGAACTTAAAGGAAGACATTCATCTGAACACATTATAGAGCATTCACAACATCACTCTAGCTTGAAGTCCTAGAAATCACCGAAAAATATATATGAGACACGAATACTCCACTACATCAAGCCATATCTCATGATGCAACTGCATGGGGTCGAAAGAGGAATTTCGTTGAGGACTCATGACAACATTTTTACTCTTTGTTTGATGATGCCTGTGAAGTGTTACTGACTGTGAAAATGCTTCCAACACACAGAGCAATCAAACGGTTTTGTTAAAATAATTACACTAGGTTGGAGTAGTGCTGGAAATCACTGATATTATCAATTGCACCTAATACATTGATCTAACAGAGAAACAAACGTGCACATTCCAGGACTTTAACAGAAGTACTCAATACTTTGATTATCCAGCCACTCCAGCAGCCATTTCTCATTATCAACCTGCATGGGGTCGAAATAGGAATTGTCGTCAGGGCTCAGTACATCCAGCCATCTCGCAGGATCCAACTGCATGGGGTCGAAATAGGAATTGTCGTCAGGACTCATTACATCCATGCATCTCTCAGGATCCACCTGCATAGGTTCGAAAGATGCATTTTTTTCAGGACTCATTGCAGCACTCTGTATTTCTCCTTTTGATTTCACTTTCCTATCATTGCGGATCTTCTTATGCTTGTTTCGGGGTGATGACCGTGTCCTCTCCAACGGAGAACAATTGAATGGCTTATCGTCCGTGTGTGTTTCCTGGTGACGATGAAGATTTGATTTCCGTGAAAATGGCTTCCCACACAGAGAGCAATTGAACGGCTTCTCGCCCGTGTGTGTTTTTTGGTGAGTGTGAAGATCTGCTTTACGGGCAAATGCCTTCACACAAACAGAGCAATTGAACGGCTTCTCACCCGAGTGTGTTTTTTGGTGATTGCGAAGAGTTGATGAATCTGCAAATGACTTCCCGCACACAGAGCAATTGAACGGCTTCTCGCCCGTGTGTGTTTTCTGGTGCTTGTGATGAGTTGATGAATCTGCAAATGACTTCCCACACACAGAGCAATTGAACGGCTTCTCGCCCGTGTGTGTTTTCTGGTGCTTGTGAAGATCTGATTTCCGTGCAAATGCCTTCCAGCACACAGCACAATTGAACGGCTTCTCGCCCGTGTGTGTTTTTTGGTGAGTGTGAAGATCTGCTTTACGGGCAAATGCCTTCACACAAACAGAGCAATTGAATGGCTTCTCACCGAGTGTGTTTTTTGGTGATTGCGAAGAGTTGATGAATCTGCAAATGCCTTCCCGCACACAGCGCAATTGAATGGCTTCTTACCCGTGTGTGCGTGCCGCTGTGGAGAGTTTTTCTGCTCCATGTGACTGATTTTTCAGAGCAGAGAAACTTCGTGGATGTCTGGCTCAAATCGCCAAAAAGCAACTCTCACTAACGTTTAACCGAGTCACAGTAACGTCTCGGAAGTCGGAATACACACGCGATTACCAGTTTATCCACTAACAAAGACACTTACTTGTTGATGCACGGCGTATCGATGTCCCTGTAACCCGTCTGAAGAGATCGCCACGAACTCTCCCGAAGCAAAGTCCCAGCCAGTCGCCAAGCAATCGTGCTCGCCAGGCTGGGTCTCGTGGAAGAAGGGTTATCTGCAGAGCGGGGAGTCGAGCGTCTATGCTCATCAAAATCCCTCTCGAAATGCCCTTGAGGTCTGATTTTAAGCCCTTTATAATTCTGCTCTAGCATCCAAATTCTTTGTTCTCGACTTGGCCTATTATGGAATTTGCATTCAATTGTTAATTTTTACATTAACAATCCGCATATCTAGCAACATAATACGTATGTACATATCACTGAATAATTGTACACTTCCGTTTGAATACGGATGTGCATCTCTATGCATAATTCCATGATTCGTGTTAATTTGCTAATATTCACCCCCCAATGTCCTCTAAACTGCTGCAAGTTTAGAGGATGATAAAGTGACATACAGTCTGAAGTATCAAAATTGGTGATCTCGAGCTTGATTTGGAATAAGATGTGCAAGTTTATACTGTACTGACTTTGTTTTATAAATATATTTAAGTACAATCGTGTTGAGCGGGGTGTTTCTAGAAAACGAGTGTTTTATATTAAAAATTCTGCCATTTGTTCGCGTAGTCGAACGCAATCCCTTTGTACTTACACTGCTGTGTATGTCCACTCGTGTGTGGGTGTGTGTACATGAGAGTGTATGTGTACTCGTGTATGATTATGTATTGGAACAAACAATTTATTTTTATATTGTGTCGTACAAATAATTGAGGGGCAACGTGGTAGGAATGCGCCACCACAACAGGGAACTACAGGGATGATACTCCCCGCTCGTGGTGCGAAATGAATGAAAACAGCGTAGAAACACATGCACACTCGTGTGTGAATGCACACCGCTGTATATACAGTCGTGTTTGGATGCAAACTCGTGTGTGTATGTCTACTCGTCCGTGTTTTTTTTAAAGGAAAACTATGGTAGCAATAACGTACGATCAGTCATCTTTAAAAACAGGTCTTTATTAATCTGCAAGAAAGCTCACGTTAATATCGTATCGAAATCTTTATTAATACGCATGCTCAAACGGAAGGACTATCTTTTGGTTTTTCGGTAAAGTCACGTAGAGGGAAGTAATAAAATAAAAAATAAACATAAAAACATTCTCACGACGTTTCGGCAAACGCAGCAGCCGTTGAGGACGGTGCTTGCAGGTGAGGACTGCTGGTTGTGGCCGAACGTCGGAGAATTGTTATTATGTTTTTTTTATTATTTTATTACTCCTTTACGTGACTTACGGAAGAACAAGAAGATGAATCCTGCAGTCACGAAAGCTTTAAATCGAAAGGAAAGGAACTAGGCAATTTTTTTCCCCAATAGGAATTCAACAGTTAAAATATATTCTTAAAATCAAACACGTAAACGTCGATTTCCCTTTTGACGTCCTTTTCGACTGAAGCCATTCGTCCTAAGTATAAAGTTGTTGTCATTCTGAAATCCGTGAACACTTCTGGAACTTAAAGGAAGACATTCATCTGAACACATTATAGAGCATTCACAACATCACTCTAGCTTGAAGTCCTAGAAATCACCGAAAAATATATATGAGACACGAATACTCCACTACATCAAGCCATATCTCATGATGCAACTGCATGGGGTCGAAAGAGGAATTTCGTTGAGGACTCATGACAACATTTTTACTCTTTGTTTGATGATGCCTGTGAAGTGTTGCTGACTGTGAAAATGCTTCCAACACACAGAGCAATCAAACGGTTTTGTTAAAATAATTACACTAGGTTGGAGTAGTGCTGGAAATCACTGATATTATCAATTGCACCTAATACATTGATCTAACAGAGAAACAAACGTGCACATTCCAGACTTTAACCAGAAGTACTCATACTTTGATTATCCAGCCACTCCAGCAGCCATTTCTCATTATCAACCTGCATGGGGTCGAAATAGGAATTGTCGTCAGGGCTCAGTACATCCAGCCATCTCGCAGGATCCAACTGCATGGGGTCGAAATAGGAATTGTCGTCAGGACTCATTACATCCATGCA